CATCATAAGCACCACAGTTTAAAGATGTCAATTAAACAAGCAATTATAATGAGATACTTGACCGAGAATCCAACAAACAGTAACAACTTTTTTTTGTCCCGTTAAAGAGCTAAAGCCAAGTCCTCTGCTATATAATTAACCACCAAAGGGACTGAGAGTATCTCCTGACTATACAGACTGAAAAGGCCAAACTAAGTACAATATTCACTTCTACATGAAGAAGCAGAATCCCTTTTGGTTTCAGTTCTTATTTCCCTCTTCTTTGTCGTCCCTTCAGTAACAAGCTTCAGAGTGCAGAAAAACTTCATTTTTCCTTTTCTTCTCAATTTTCCATCTCACATGGCTGGCGGGCAGAGACCCCAGGGGTTTAACAAATCGTGTATACTGCTCATAGGTAAGCCATATTTATGTCTACTTTCTCATTTTCCAACCATAATACACTTACATTTCATCATCATGAACGAGAAAAACAGATCGAAGTACGGATTCTTATTTCCTTTGATATCAGATAAAGGCTGATCAGAAGTTCGACTGACATGCATATTAATTCCAATATGTTCTTCTGGCCCCATGTTTCTGTATATATTAGAAGCATAACATGTGGTTTTTGATATGTATGACAGTTATTGCTGGTATAGAGAGATTTGCATTCAAGGGGGTGGCGTCAAACTTAGTGACATATCTAACAGATGTAGTGAAGATGAGCAACTCGTCTGCCGCGAAGATGGTGAATAGTTGGTGTGGATTCACCTCCATAATGCCACTGTTTGTAGCTCCCATTTCTGACGCTTATTTCCACAAATACTCCACCATCATGCTCTCTTCTTTCCTCTATGTTACTGTAAGTTACTCTCCCCAATCTATTATCTGTTTTTTTTTTTTTCCAGAATACATCAATACAAAGTTTATATAGGAAATGATTGATGCATGTTTTCCTAGAATTGTTTACTTTTGAGAGTGACACAAAAAGTGAGAATGTCTGTGAAACAAATCAACTTCGGTTCTTTCTTTGTCCTCCCTATTCTCTCCTCTCTCTCTCTCTCTCTCTCTCTCTGAGTTCTACAAGAACTTCACAATATTATATAGAAGATTCAAATTCATAATCTTTTTTTCGAACGAAACAAATTCATAATCTTTAAGGGGATGTTTTGTTGCTGGAAAAAAATGAGGTGGAATATTGGATTAAAAAGATAAAGACAATAACAAAATGATCAAAATATGAAGGGAAAATAAGTCAATCATATTTATGAGAAGGGAAAAGTTAATTTAACTCGTAAGATTAAAAGTTATAATTCAAGAGATTTATAAAAGATGTGGTAATTCCCATATTAGGGGGAGGATAATTTAGTTCATCATTCTATCTTCATCCTTTCTAATAATTAAATGGTTTTTAATTTTTCTTAATTTTTTATGTCTGATTAGTCTGTTTGTTCTTTAATTGAACGTTGTTCATAATTTAGTTGATTTTTTTTTTTGCTATATCAGATGAAGATGATAATTCATAAAGGTATTGGAGTATGAGTCATGCATGCTTTACCAACCTTTTTTTCCCCATTAACATGCTTTACAACTTTCATAATTAAGTGGATATATTTTTTTATTACTTCAAAATTGTCCTATTAGGAATAGACATATAAAGTATTAATTCATCTTATACTTACATTTTTTTTGAAAATTCAACAAAAAATGATTTAATTGACATGGATTAATCGACTCACACCCCGTAAGTGTATCGAGTCAAACCTGCTGTTGGCATCATTATCTTATTAATTAGTGATGTGATGAGATGGAAAATGTTACTTTGTTAATTGTTAATGTCCCCGGCATATACAGATGTACTTTCCATAGCTGTCAACTTATGGTCATGGGAGCTTTTAGTGTGAAGATATTTTCCCCAATAATTTGGTTAAACCAGGTCACTTAAACTTTTATCAAAAATAATAAAAATTAATCTGATGATAAACAAAATGGAAAAGGTTATTTCATTTTGTTTCTGTGTGGATCCTCGTACCCAGGGACTTGCAGCATTGACAATAACAGCAGTGGGAAGGACGAGGCCGAATCGACACAGGACAATAATAATGCCATCCTCGTTTCTAACTTTGTCTCTTTACGTAATTTCATTGGGACAAGGTGGTTATAATCCCTCTCTGCAAGCATTCGGAGCAGACCAGCTGGATGACGAGGAGGAATTACCATGTAGCAAGGACGATCAAAACTCCAATACGAAGACACTGTTCTTCCAGTGGTGGTACTTCGGTATATGTGGCGGAAGCCTATTGGGCGTCACCATCATGTCCTACGTCCAAGACACCTTTGGCTGGGTCCTAGGTTTCGCCATCCCTACCATCTCAATGGGTCTCTCTATTCTCATTTTCTCGTTTGGAAGCCCTATCTATTTGTTCAAACAACACCACCATTCTAAAACTTCTAACAAATCCTTTATCAACCTGCTCCACGCAATCAAAGCTTCTATTCTCAGACGCTTCCATGGCGGAACAACCCCACCTATCGACAAGTCTGAAGTATCCGAGCTCGAGTAAGTTCCCGCTTTCCAAATTATGGATGTCATACTTTCGTCGCTTGGAAAGTCATGTGTTTACTGTAACTCGCATAAGTTGACTGTTAAATTTCTTGTGACAGACTGCAAGAGAAGTCGTTGTGTCATGAAAACATGGACAACATTCCCAAGAGGAGGATGTTCATGGTTTCGAATGCCAAGGTCGTGCTTCGGCTTTTGCCGATATGGACAATGCTTCTGATGTTCGCGGTCATCTTCCAACAGCCTGCCACGTTCTTCACAAAGCAAGGAATGACGATGAAGAGGAACATAGGTGGCAAGTTCAAGATCCCACCCGCCACACTTCAGAGTGCCATCACGCTCTCCATAATTCTATTAATGCCATTATACAACAGAGTCTTCATACCACTGGCTCAGATCATCACGCGTCAGGAGAAGGGCATAAGCGTGATGCAAAGGATGGGAATAGGAATGGTGCTTTCAATCATAGCCATGGTTATTGCAGCTCTGGTTGAAAGGAAGAGACTTGAAATGGGGAGAGAGATGAAGACCGAAACGGTACCATTGAGCATATTCTGGCTGCTTCCGCAGTACATACTTCTGGGGATTTCGGACATTTTCACTGTGGTGGGAATGCAGGAGTTCTTCTACAGTGAAGTTCCAGTGGCCATGAGAACGATGGGGATTGCACTGTACACCAGTGTTTTTGGGGTTGGAAGCTTCGTCAGTGCACTGTTGATCACGCTTGTGGAAGTGTTTACGAGTTCAAGAGGGAAAACAAGTTGGTTCTCTGATGATATGAATGAAGCACGCTTGGACAATTATTATTGGCTTCTTACGTTGTTAAGTGGAGTAAGCTTGGTAGTATATGTGGTGTTGTGTATATTTTACCAACACCATAAGAGTGACTCGCAGAATGAAAATTGAGTTTTCTCTCCTCTGGCATTTTGTTTTTGGCTCTTCTTTAATTTGTCAACCTGCGTACTTGACTTGATTTCTAATGATAGTGATGTACATGTGTGTGTGTGTGTTTATGCTTTCTGTCTATTTGTGTCCCTAACTCCTAATTTTCTATTTTCTTTGCTACCATGGAATGTGGAATATTCAACAATGTTATAATCCAAGCAGAAAAATCAAGAAAGTAGGAAGAAAGACTTGTCAAGGCTGTTTTCCCCCCTCCATGAGTGGCTTTTATATCTCACTTCTTGTGTATTTGTTCTAATCTAACCAATAATTTACTACCGTTGATATCTCATAATTTCTTTCTATTTGATTCTTGCCACGCTAAAAGGTAGAATTTGTGGGCTTGTTTAAAACTGTTTTATTTTATTATTTTAAAAATTAGTGTTTTGTATATCATGTTTTGAAAAAAGCAATGATGAAAACAAGTGTTTTTTAATTCTTTTTTATTCTTCGTAATAATAATCTCATAACATTTAAAATATGTTTTCGGTTTTCTATTCTAAAAAATAACATTTATTTTTTTGACACTTTTTGAAAATATGTTGTTAAACAATTTTTTTGTTTTTTATTCTGAAAAATAAAACATTATTTTCAAAATAGTTTGCCAAACAACCACTACATTGCTTCAAGCTTTTCTTTTTGGCTTAAAAAAAAATTGTCTTGGAAGAAGGATCACACTTCCATTAGGAATCTCTGTAAGGCAGGTGAAATGAACTCAAGTTAATTAATCTACGACTCAGATGTGAAAGCCAACAATCCCAATAATTGAAAGGCCGTAATCAAAGATATTATAAGGGAGCGTTACAACCTGCAAACAGCTACTAGACATTACATTGTCTCCTACCTTTAAGGCCACATATAGTTATGTGTAACAGCTAACTGCTAACCAATCCCAAGTCCCAAACCATATGCAAATATATATATTTTTGTATTACAGTCACATGTATATTAAAGAATTTATTAAAAACAGCTTATGACAATATCACTTTTTTATAGAGAAAATTACATCTAGATCCTATAAAAAAGAATTTATTACTAAAAGATCTTATAAAATTTACAAAATACTTTTAAGTTTTGAGTCTTGCATGTTTACAACTTGGCAACGAGAATTGTAAGTTATAAATGTTTATTACCAATTTATAAATGCGCAGGATTCAAGACTTTAAAGTATTTTATAAATTTTATGAGACTTTTTTAGATAATAAATTTTTTCATTAGTGTAATTTTCCCTTTCTTCTGCCTTTTCATTTCTAAAATTCAATCAATAGTTTACACTTGACAAATCATGCATTGAAAAAGAAAGAAAGAAAGAAAGAAAGAAAGGTTCACCTAGATTTTACTTTAAGTGGTGTGTTTTAGTCCCAAAATAAGTCACCAACTGTGTCCGGACATGACAACTTACATTGGCGTAAAATAAGTACATAGGATTTGAGAGTATACCTCGAAAGTAATTAACATCCTGAGATTAGAGTTCCCCTCAAAACTCAAAGGTAACATCCTTAGCCAAAACACAAGATAAAGCTAATACTTTATATTATATACTGTAGAAGTACATGAACGTCTGGTCGTGCCTTCCAAGATGATGAAGCACAGCACAGACTACAGATACCACAGAGGTTCAAACGCTACAAAGCACGAGAGCAGGGGACGGGCCACATTCCTATGGTATAAACCACAGTGGACGATGAAGGAAACTAACTGGCAGGAGAGCTTGGCTTGATATTCACAGATAACTTATTTGATTCAGAGGACATCATGTTCTACAGTACATAGAATCCTCTGTACCCTTTATTAAACACAAAATCCACACCGATGTAGGTGGTGCATTCTGGGCAGAGAAAGACTCCGTGTCATGAACATCAGGAGCGGATAATACATGGAGCACACCTAGCCCATCTGAACAGCTTCAAATAGTGCCTCTTCTTGCTTTTTCCAGGAGATCCAGTCAACTCTGACTCGTTTCTTTTCAGCATCTCCCACATAACATGTATATCATGATATTCAGAAGCCTTCACTTCATTTCGTATTTTCAGCAATCCTGCACATTTTTCCAAAGTCCACCTCTAACATCAATCGCTAGCAACTTCTCTAATTGTACAGAACAAAACTCGGGTACTAATTATCTATGATAAACAACAGAAACTAGTAATATTCCTCATATCTGTTGTTCTGTTGGGGGAAAAAAACCCCAAAGAACTATCATATTATTATGTTTTGGCCCTCTGTAGCTTTAGACTCCTGGTTAATTTCTCGAGTTTCACAACATTAAAGGCAGTACCTAATAGTCGTTCTGCATCGGCTTCTTTATGGGTCTGTAATGAAAACAACGGAAACTTAAAGCACACATCACAAATTAACATTGTTATAAATTTAACTTCCAGCAGGGTTCATATATATCGTTCCATGCGAGTAACAAGCATCAGAAACAGCTTCTTGTCAATCTAATTTCTTTTCATCACAGAAGAACTGAATCAAATCAGGATCGTCCCTGTCCATCACTGAGAAAAACAGTCAAATTATTACAACACCCTGCCTCAACCATAATCAGGATTGTCCCAAACATGCTTGAAACTGCTATTACAACTGCAACTACAATTACACCGCATCAGAACCTTAATCTTAACCAACAGCCAATGCTGTAAGTCACTATTTATAATAATATCACTTGTTTGTTATAAATAAGTCCAGAGATAGTACCATCTAATTAATCATCAAACAAAATTCCCAAAAACATCAACAAGGCGAGAGAAGAAGAGGCGACAGGGCACCATCAACCCCAAGGAGAAGAGGAGGAGCTTACCTGTTTTGCGAATGCCGAGGCGGGTAGCGATGCTAATCCAAACACTACGCATCGGGTGGACTAGCTTATCCCACCACTCCATCTGCCGTAGAAGGAGGAGACTCAAGCGCAGATCAAGATCACGCTCCCTCACCACGAGTCCAGAATGTTCGAACCCGCAACCCCCTCCTCTATATTCCCACCAAAAAATTTCAAAAAAAAGAAAAACACAATTTAAATGAACATGAGAAGAAAGAGTAGTTTCATTTCATCAACAGAATAGTGACAATTTAAAAAAATAATAATAAGAAATTCAACCAAAAGGGGAAAAACGAAAGGAACAGATTGACCAGGGTGAAGTAACGAACCGCGTGAAAACTTGTTAGCGCTGTGTCAGTATACTCCTCCTAAGAGAAATGAGTGAAGGATGTGGATCGTAAAGAAAGCCTGGGCTCAACGACGAATGCCACGTGTCGGGCTCACAGAATTCTATGGTCAGGTTGTAATCGCGTCGGTTGGGACGTTCTGTCTTCCGTGCTGTGATGGGCCTGTACACGTCGTGCCATCTTCCGGCTACGTGGAGATTCAGTATTGGTGTTTTGTTTCCATGGCTCGTCGACGCGTGAAAAAATTATAAGGTCCTCGAGTAGTCGAGTTTCCCGTACGATTATAATTTTATCAATCAAAATGTCCTATGCTAACAGTTTCATATCATTGGTCCCCAAAAAAAAAAAAATTCCGTACCAATCATCAATCAGAAGATGCTAAAGTACAAGAATGCTAATTTCTTTTATAAAAGGTCAAAGATAATAAATTAGTAATGTGCCTATATATTCTCGAGCATTAACAGTGGCATGTTTCCTCTATTATCATCATTTATCAATGGCTTTGACTTGTCCCATTGGCCAAAAAAAATGGCTTGATGAATTTTTTTTTTACTATATTTCCAAAATTTAAGTGAGTTGGGTTTAAGAGTTATTGGATCAAGACATATTTTCAAATTTAAAAAATACTTATAGAGATATTTGTAAATTACCTACGATCTTATAACTCAAAAAATATTTTTTTGTTAGTCATTAGTATTAAAGTTCAATGTGTAAACTGCATAGTTTATACCTTTTAAATAATATACGGCTCCCTACCTCGTCAAATATGTACAACGAAATAGAAGAATTCTGTCACTCTCTCTTATTCTAAATATAAAACTTGGTTGAGAGTTTTGTTTTGATTCTAAATAGATCCCAATCTTCTCTGACGATCTCTCCCATTTAATATTTTTTTCCCTCAAATTAAATTTATTAATTTCACATTTTTTTTCACTCCCTTGATCTCTCATATTTACACCTATGTTGATGTAGGAAAGTAAGAAATTTTTTTAAGGATGTATATGAACAAAGTAAAAACTTATTTAATTTGTAGATAAAATTAATAAATTTTAAGATTTTGTTAAGGTTATTGGAGCGTTGATTTTTTCTTTTTTATCAATATTAAAATAATAATTTTAATTTCATCAGCTGATTTAGTTAACGGTGCAAATTGAGGTATGGTGTGGAGGGAGGGGGGATATTGGCAGGAGCTATCTCACCCAAGTTTTTAAGTTCTTTTTTTATATTATTGTTTGCACTCAAATTGTAAATTTGGAGGCATGAGATTGACTTAATTTAATTAACTTTAAAATAATTATAAAAAAATAAAATATTTATGAAACCTTAGGCATTAAGTCAAAACCATCACTCATGATGAGCGACCATGATGAAAAAAGTGCTTTCTAAATTTAAAAAAAATGATGATAATTGTGTTTGGACACCAAGCCAGGATCATTTATAAATAGAAGAACTTTCTCTCAACAATCATTATGAGCATCAACAAATAACCAGTCTTAGACTTCATGTCTGTTACTTTATTTTACTTTTTCTTTTATCATGTAATTTTAATCTTTATTTTTCTATTGTACGGCTATCATAGCCTGCCACCTCTTTCTTTAATTAATATATCTCTGTTTCCTTGCATTTGCATTAATTTTCTTTATTTCTCATTTTCATATTTGGGTGAATTGTGGTAACAGAGCCCAGGTTCCTGCATTTGAATAGAAATTAGATTCTTCTATCTTTTTGAGACCCCGCGTCTCTGGCATGCGTCACGACACCACGCCTGATTGTTTTTCATGAACTATTTTTGGCACGCACAGTGGGACTCGTGTGAAAGGAATGCCAAAGACACATAAGGATCAATATGTTATTAGAAAAAATAGACCTGAGTCTTATACATAGGACATGAAGTAGAAGCTAACAAGAGATAAAGAGCTTTGTTACAAACTCTAAAGGATGGACTGAGGAATATCTTTGCTATACTGTCTAGATCGTCACAAGAGCAAGCTTCAATTGGCTCACACTTTTAAAGAATAAATGGACTCCGAGGGCAGTCTCCTAAAGTGCCCTTTAACAAGCACCAGTATAACATTCCTCAAAGGATAAATGGCAACTCTAATTTAATAGTAGGCCTGTTTGGCCACAAGGATCAGAGCCATTGGGGCTAATACCATAAGGGTCGAAGCCACAAGAGCCGGAGCTATCAGGGCTAGCACCACAAGGGTCAAAGCCACAAGGACCATAATCATCGGGGACAAAGTCATTGAGGCCAACACCATAGGGCTGGAGCCACCGGGGCTGGCACCACAGGGGTTGGAGCCACAAAGGCCGGAGTCATTGGAGTCAGCACCATCAAGTCTAGAGCTATATAGGATTTTAATTTGATTATTTAATTTTGTAAAATATTTTCTTAATCCTTCAATCCTAATATTATTAATTTTAAATGATTATTGTTTGTGTCAATCATTGTTATTTTTTAAAAAGCTAAACTTAATATGTCAACATTTGAATATGTTTTGTCAATATTTAAAAATTTAATATAAAAATTTGTTAGGATAAAACTAATAGTATTAGGATTAAAAGACTAAAAAGACACTTTATAAAGTTAAGGTACTAAAATGAAATATTATGAAAAATTAAAGGACTAAATGTATATATAGTTTAGCCTTTCAGAAAATTTAAGTGTTAAATATCCATTACGTCCTTATTATAATTAACTAACTTTAATTAACTCAGATCGGGCGGGAAAAAAAAAAAACCAGAGATCGAGAGATTAGCTGTTTAGCAGGACAGTTCCACGTTTAACTGAAATTAAAGCAACAGTTCTAATTTCTTGTGAAATTGTGAATGGGAATAAGTTCTGGAAGACCAACTAAGTAAGACAAATAAGTCGACTAATCAATGATCATGAAAGAAAATTATGCTTATGAGAGAGGCAAGGAAGCTTGAAACGTGGTTGTCTCTGGCTCTTTTAGCTACGCGGTGAGTCCCCCCCAAAATGATAAAGTGCTTCTCTAATTTTTAGGTGTTTTACTTTTAAGAGGCAGTGACGATACCGTGACACTTGACGAGCTTCAAGGATAGAGGAAGATCACTACTGGTCGAGTAGCGTCCGAAATTATGTCAAGTAATGATGAATTTTACGAACAAGCATATTTGTATTCTAAGTCATTTAAATATCATATCGAAGAACTGAATGTAAAGTTAGGGCGTTGATGGCTTGTTTCATCTATTGGTTCGGCGATATAACTTATTTTAGTAAGTTGGGTCCCCACTCGTAACTGAACAAGAAAAATAAAAATAGCCACAACACACGGCTGGACAAACAAACGAACGCGTTCACTCCACTGGAAAAAAAGTTTAGGGTATTGCGGTTGTCCTTCAGTTTTTCAGTTATGTGTTAATGCTCAATATATATGATAAGGATCAATTAAAATTGTCACGCCCCAAAATGGAGGGTGACCGGCACGGGTGTAAACCATTCTCACCTTCCCGTAAGCCTCCAAATGAATATTTATTTCATTTTTCAAGAGAAGAATAAAATTCAATCAAATCATATAAAAATTAAAATAACTTCTTTAAATTCATTGTCATAAGAAAGTGTCAACGTTTTTGTAGAAATTTCAGCAGAACCTCCCCTGTAACTAGGATCTCCTGAAAATTCTACAATAAAAATTTTACAAATATCAGTATAAATCAGGAGCGTAGCTCCTTCCAGCCAACAACCAATATACAGACCAAAAATAAAATTTATCAACAATCTATGTGGAGCATCTGCTATTTCTTTCAAATCAAAAAGACATACAATTTATGTATTTACATTAAAGCAACAATACCAATCAAAATGTCCACCCACTGTAGTTAGTTGCCCTTTTTGAGGTCGTTGATGAAATCGGCGTCAGTTAACCAATCTGAGACCAAATAATTTTTCCAGTGAATAGCATTCCCATGGAAAAATTCTTAAAATTTCAATCGACAATTTATAATAAGGGTGTCAGATGGTTGGAAGTAATTCTACCAAGATTTATAATGTACGTGAGGCATAATCATATTTATAAAATAAGAATAAGTTGAAAACATTTTATGTTATCATGTTTAAAGAAACAATCTGCTCTCATAAAACTCGAAGTGATACAATTTACTAAAAAAAAATTGGGTAAACTTCGAAAACATATATTAATCAACATTTAAAATTCTGAGAACTCAACAGAACAGGTTACAAATGTGGACACATAGTCCACGAGGGTAAATAACCAAACGCGGCTTATGCCACGAAAACAAACATGGACACACCAGTCCACGAGGGTAAGTAACCAAACGCAGCCGAAGCTACGAAACAAACGTGGACACACAGCCCACGAGGGTAAGTAACCAAACGCGGCTTATGCCACGAAATCAAACGCGGGTACGAAGCCCACGAATACCAAACGTGAGAATAAAACTCACGAAACAAACTAGCTAGTATTTAACCACAGCGCGCTACGGACTAATGGAACTGCCGTTAATAGCAGTGTTCTGTATAGAGTTCTCTTAGAAAGCCCGTTTCAAACATGCGAGAGAAATAATTACTTGTGAAGTCAAATTTTCATTCTCAAGATCAAACTCGCATGAGTTGCTTCAAATATATGAAACTTGTCAAATCGATACACCATAACGAATGTACAAACTTGCGTTAATCATGTAATCAAGAAATTTTGAAATTCAATAGGCAAAGGTGCCTTCATCAATATAAAAAAAATATATTTCTTGAGAAAATACACAAATTATAATATGACTATTCTTCATCATTATTTCAAAATTTCTAAAACTAACATAATTCATAAAAATGAAATATTTTAATAAAAGATTTTCAATAAATACTCATAAGGAATGCTATTCACTTACCTGTTGTGATTTCAAATCTCCAAAATATTATTTATTTAATTTCTATCGGGATCCTCTTCCTCTACGCGTCCTATAAAGATATTAGTAGCCAAAATTTAATAAATCATCTTTTAATTTACAAAGGCTTCCTTCCCAATTCCACCTTTTACCAATATCCAGTTATTTCCAATTGAGAATTGAATCCACACTATCATTATTTAAAATTCAAAAATTAAATCTATAATTTAAAGTTACTCCAAGTATTATTATTTACCCTTATGACTTTCTCCATAAAACTTTAGTCATGCCATTCTATTTCCCTGAGGTGAAAATTTTCTTTTTATACTTTGCACCAATTTTTTTTTTCAATTTTGTTCTTCTCTTTCAACTTCATCCTAATCAAATTCTCAATATCAACCAATCTAACAAAACTTAATTTAGATTAGAATCCAGACCCATATATATATATATCGTTATGAAGCTTTGAAAATCACTTTCTAGCTCCCACAACAGCACGAGCAACAGTAGCAAAATACTCTCAAAAATTTCTGTAATTTTAGTATTAACTCACACTTCCCCTCACGCAAGTTCGTCAAGGAAGAAAGCTGAAGAATTCTCACCTGAAACAACAATAACAGCAAAGGTAACGAAGAAGACAGAACCTACAGCAGAACAGGGAGAGAAAATGGAATTCTCCAGCTGATGCAAGGAATAGAGGAAGACAAAACACTGCTCAAAAGAAAAGAAAAAGACCAGAATCAGCGTTAATTTTAGCTCATGACCAGCACTACCAATTCCGACGACCTGATTCCTTCCAACCATTAGCAACGCGTGGACATATTTTACAAGAACAGAGCAACAGCCAGAATCGAGTAGAAGGAAGCATAACAAATTAAAAACATAGCTGAGAAACTTGACAGTAGCAACAGAAAGAAAAAGAAAAAAAAAATCCCATAATCTGTACCTCGCTCAACTGAGACCGAACAAGGAAGCAAGATGAGTCACAGCTCTGTATAACGAACTGAAAGGAAGAAGAAGAAGAGAGAAGGTTCGCTGCACGACTCCAACGTGAGAAGAGCAAAAGACTTCCGGCGAACTCACAGCACTTGAGATGGACGAAAGACAAACGACAAGGAAGCTTGGAACGTTCGCACAGTTCATGGACAGCAAGATAAGGAAGAACGAAGCGAAAACAGGGGAGAACAACCAGTCACTGAACGTCTCCCATGGTGGATTTTTTCGCTCCCAAGGTCACCGTCGAGTAGTTTAACGACAGGGATGATGATAATGGGTGAAGGGCTGAACGAAAAGGGTTCGAAGTTTCTGGTGAAGTCTACAGCTCTCTTGACTCACGCACAAATCTGCTGGAGAAAGGAAAAGAGAAGGAATTATATCACAATGGGATAAGGACAATCTGGTAATTTCACATAGCAAAAAGGAAGGAAAAATTTAATTCTTCATTTGGTCTCTTTTCGGATTCGAACTAGAGACTTGACATATGAAATCCTCCTCAACTGCCACTGGATCAAGTCTCTAACTTGTTATATTTATTCCAAAAACTAATATAAACACACTTAAAGCAAGTTAACCTATATATGTATATATATATTTATTTTAATTTATTTAGGGTTATTACATTCTTCCCCCCTTAGAAAATTCGGTCCTCCGAATTTGAATTTATGCTTACCTTAATCCACAAGTAGGTATGGATACTTAGCACGCATATCGGCTTCAATGTCCCATGTGGCTTCTTCTTGAGAATGATTACGCCATAAGCACTTTCACCGAAGCGATTTCTTTCGACCGCAACTTCTTAACTTGTCGATCCAAAAGAGCCATTGGAACTTCTTCATAAGATAAGTCTGGGGATATTTGAATCCCCTGAGTTTCAATTACATGAGAAGGGTCATATAAGTATTTCCATAGCATTGATACATGAAACACCAAATGAATACCCAACAGTTCAGGTGGTAACACTAAACAATAAGCAACTACACCAATTCTTTTTAAAATCTCAAATGGACCCACATACCTTGGGCTTAGTTTACCTTTCTTTCCAAACCTTATTACCCCTTTCATAGGAGATACTTTAAGGAATACTTTATCCCCAACCATGAACTCTAACTCCCGACGTCGATTATCAACATAAGACTTCTGTCGACTTTGAGTTATTATTAATCTTTCTCTAATTATTTTCACTTTCTTAATAGCATCTTGCACCCCAAATCTAGTCCCAAAAGTTAGTATCGCCAGCATCTAACCATCCAATAGGAGACCTACATTGCCTGCCGTAAAGTGCTTTATATGGGGCCATTTGTATGCTAGATTGATAACTATTATTATAAGAAAAATCTACCAAAGTCAAATAACAATCCCAACTGCCACCAAAGTCCAAAATACAAGATTTTAACATATCTTTAAGTATCCGAATGGTTCTTTCAGACTGGCCATCGGTTTGCGGGTGGAAAGCAAAACTGAGATCCAATCGAGTGCCCAAAGCTTCTTGGAAATATCTCCAAAATCAGAAAGTAAATTGAGGACCTCTATCAAAAATTCTAGATATTAGAATCCCATGCAGTCACACAATCTCATCAATATATAATTGAGCATATTTATCAGCATTATATGTTGTCTTTATTGGAATGAAATGAGCTGATTTCGTCAGTCTATCAACAATAACCCAAATAGAATCATACCCCTTAGCAATGCGAGGCAACCCAGTGACGAAGTCCATTGTGATATTTTCCCATTCCACTCTGGTATTTCTAACCTTTGGTGTAGCCTAGCTGGTTTTCTGGTGTTCTGCCATAACTTGCTGGCACGTCAAACAACGTGAGGTAAAGTCTGCCACATCCTTTTTCATGCCATCCCACCAATACAGTTATTTCAAATCTTGATACATTTTAGTTGCTCCTAGATGCACGGTATATGCGGAATGATAAGCCTCTTCCATGATAAGTCGCTTCAAGTTTTCCTCGTATGGCACACAAATTCTACCCTTGCATTTTAATATTCCTTCCTGGTCAATTTCAACTTAGTGTTACTTCCAGCTATGACTGCTTCTTTTTAACTTGCATAATTTTGGATCTAAGAATTGAGCGCTCTTAATCTGATCTATTAGAGCAGAACGGACTTGTACATGAGCCAGAAATGGTCCCTTATCAATAATCTCAAACTTGACTCCACTTTGCTCATGTTTATGAATTTCTTGCACCAAAGGCCTCCTTGTCAAAGCCATATGTGCCAAGCTACCCATCGATTTTCTACTTAAGGCATCAGCCACCACATTTGATTTGCCAGGATGGTAAAGAATTGTACAGTCATAAACCTTCAATAACTCCATCCATCTTCTTTATCTAAGATTAAGATCTTTTTGTTCAAAAATGTACTTTAGACTCTTATGATCAGTATAAATCTCACAAGTCTCACCATAAAGATAATGGCACCAAATTTTTAGCGCAAAAACAACCGCTGCCATTTTTAAGTCGTGGGTTGGGTAGTTCTGCTCATGTTTCTTAAGTTTCCTTGAGGCATAAGTAATAACTCGTCCATGTTGCATTAGAACACAACCTAGACCCACACGAGAAGCATCACAATAGACTGCATATCCTCCGTTGCCCGACGGTAAACTCAAAACCGGTGCTGATATTAAGTACTCCTTTAATTTTTTAAAAATTATCTTCACACTTATCATCCCATTCAATTTAACATTCTTTTGAGTCAACCTTGTCAGTAGAGCAGCTATTTTAGAGAAATCCTTGACAAAACGACGATAATATCCTATAAGACCTAAGAAACTGTGAATTTCTGTAACAGTCGTCGGTCTTGGCTAATTTTGCACCGCTTCTACTTTGTTTGGGTCCACTTGAATACCATCTTTAGAAACCACATGTCCTAAGAAGGTAACTTTATCAAGCCAAAATTCACATTTAAAGAACTTGGCATAAAGTTGTTGCTCCCTCATTGTCTGTAAAACAACCTGTAAATGATGTTCATGCTCCTCTGGGCTCTTCAAGTATATCAAAATATCATCAATAAAAACAATCACAAACTTATCAAGAAACGGTTTAAACACTCGATTCATTAGATCTATAAAAGCTGCTGGTGCATTAGTTAACCCAAATGACATTACTAGGAATTCATAATAACCATATCGGGTTTTAAATGCAGTCTTAGATATGTCCTCTGTCTTAATCTTTAACTGGTGATAACCCGAACGCAAGTCTATTTTGGAAAAACATCAGGAAATTCTCGAACAACAAGGATTTGATCCAAACTAACGATGCATTTATCAATGTCCTTTACTACCGCTAAAAACCCTTGACAACCTTTCTATAGTAACCGTTGGGCTTTTAAAGCCGAAATAAGATTAGTAGGTCTTTCTATAAAACTCCCTTGCAACACAAAAGGAGTTTCACCTGGAATATCAAATTTCACTACTTTCAAGTGGCAATCAACGGTAGCATAACAAGAAGCTAACCAGTCCATGCCCAAGATGACATCAAAATCAATCATATCAAGCATCATCGAATCGACAAGGGTTTCTCTACCCTCAAGAGACACTTCACAAGACTTGTACACATAAGAGACAATTTAAAGATTCCCCCACTACAGTACCAACTACAAATGAATTATCAAGTTTGGTAGGTTCTTTACCCAATCTCTTAGCAAAATAAACAGACACATATGAATGAGTTGATCCAGGATCAAATAATACATAAGCTTGATTAGAACACACAGTTATAATACCTATAACAACAGCATTTGAGGCTTTAGCATCCTGTCTTGTCATGGCATAAACTCTTGCCTGCCTTTGTCCTAAGGAAGATTGTCCCCGCTGACCATTTCCCCTTCCAGATTTACCCCTACTAGCTGAAGTAGAAGCAGCTCTAGCCAGTGGGATTGACGAGGAAGTAGGGTGGGGAGAAGTTTGGATTGATCCATGGCTCGACAAAGACTGCAAATATGGATAATTTCTTCTCAAATGGCCTATCTGCCCACACTCGAAGCATGCACCAGACACTCTATAGCACGGTCCTGAATGATATTTCCCACAACTATTACAAGGGACTCTAGTATAACCTGATTGATTCGAAACTGACTAGGCTCGAGGTCTCACGTTACTAGAATTTGGTCTCATGACAGGAGTGCTCACTGATGGTGAACCAAATGATCTAGGCTTAGACTGTGAGGCACGAAAGTGAGATTGGCTTGAAAATTAATGACTCTTGGAAGAAGAACCAAGAAATTTCTCATCGTGCTCCCTCTTGTGTTTCTTAAAAATTGCTTCCTCTACCTTATGTCAATTCTCAATTCTCAGTGCACTATCAACAATCTTAGTATAGGTGATATCACGACCCAACATAGGTGCTATATTGTCATGTATATCTACTGGCAATCCATGCACAAACCTACTAATTCGTTCCCTTTCAGTCGGGATGATATGTGAAGCAAAAGAAGATAATTCAGTAAACTTCTGATCATACTCTGCTATTGACATTCCTTTATTACACTTTAAAGTCAAGAACTCTTCAACTTTTACGTCTCTAGTACTCTGAGGCAAATAACGATCCAAAAATGTAGTCTTGAATTCTTCCCAAGTCAAAGAAGGTGAGTCACATGCAAACCTGGGACTGTTTTTGCCCAAGTACTTGCTGCTCCTTGAAGCTGAAACACTGTAAATTCGACATACTGAACATCAGGGCATCTCAAGGCCCTACATCTCTTCTCTATTCCTTCAAGAAACTCAATTGGGTCCTCCCGTGCATTGGTTCCCGAAAAAGATGGTGGATTTAACTTCATAAACTCTGATAACTTAACTGCGGGATTCTCCTTTGTTGTATCATGTGTTGAAGGAACGGTCTGCTCCTCAGATTGAGGACTAACTTGTTTGCTTCTAGAAGAAATATCTTATAGGTGCCTAAGGGTTCGACCACCCCTAGCCCTACTCCTACTCTGACGCTGTCCTCTACCTCTTAAGGGCATATCATCTATCGGAGAAATTCTGCCAGAGGCTCTACTGCTAGTGGAGCTCCTGGTAGATATTCAACGTCTGGGTGGCATATTTCACTATATAAAGAAACACAAGAAATATTTAACTCAAAATATAATTCCTTTATATAACAAAAAGTCAATAACAAAAACAAACATCGTTCGAAAACTTCCTATAGAACTCCCAATGATGCCTCAATTATAATTATGCCCGGGTTCATAATAATAATTGAAACCTCACTGGCAAGTTCTTGCTCCACATAGTTATACATGTAAAAAACCTTGGCTCTGATACCAAAACTGTCACGCCCCAAAATGGAGGGTGACCGGCACGGGTGTGAACCATTCTCACCTTCCCGTAAGCCTCCAAATGAATATTTATTTCATTTTTCAAGAGAAGAATAAAATTCAATCAAATCATATAAAAATTAAAATAACTTCTTTAAATTCATTGTCATAAGAAAGTGTCAACGTTTTTGTAGAAATTTCGGCAGAACCTCCCCTGTAACTAGGATCTCCTGAAAATTCTACAATAAAAATTTTACAAATATCAGTATAAATCAGGAGCGTAGCTCCTTCCAGCCAACAACCAATATACAGACCAAAATAAAATTTATCAACAATCTATGTGGAGCATCTGCTATTTCTTTCAAATCAAAAAGACATACAATTTATGTATTTACATTAAAGCAACAATACCAATCAAAATGTCCACCCACTATAGTTAGTTGCCCTTTTTGAGGTCGTTGATGAAATCGGCGTCAGCTAACCAATCTGAGACCAAATAATTTTTCCAGTGAATAGCATTCCTATGGAAAAATTCTTAAAATTTCAATCGACAATTTATAATAAGGGTGTCAGATGGTTGGAAGTAATAATGTACGTGAGGCATAATCATATTTATAAAATAAGAATAAGTTGAAAACATTTTATGTTATCATGTTTAAAGAAACAATCTGCTCTCATAAAACTCGAAGTGATACAATTTACTAAAAAAAAATTGGGTAAACTTCGAAAACATATATTAATCAACATTTAAAATTCTGAGAACTCAACAGAACAGGTTACAAACGTGGACACATAGTCTACGAGGGTAAATAACCAAACGCGGCTTATGCCACGAAAACAAACATGGACACACCAGTCCACGAGGGTAAGTAACCAAACGCAGCCGAAGCTACGAAACAAACGTGGACACACAGCCCACGAGGGTAAGTAACCAAACGCGGCTTATGCCACGAAATCAAACGCGGGTACGAAGCCCACGAATACCAAACGTGAGAATAAAACTCACGAAACAAACTAGCTAGTATTTAACCACAGCGCGCTACGGACTAACGGAACTGCCGTTAGTAGCAGTGTTCTGTATAGAGTTCTCTTAGAAAGCCCGTTTCAAACATGCGAGAGAAATAATTACTTGTGAAGTCAAATTTTCATTCTCAAGATCAAACTCGCATGAGTTGCTTCAAATATATGAAACTTGTCAAATCGATACACCATAACGAATGTACAAACTTGCGTTAATCATGTAATCAAGAAATTTTGAAATTCAATAGGCAAAGGTGCCTTCATCAATATATATATAAAAAATATATTTCTTGAGAAAATACACAAATCATAATATGACTATTCTTTATCATTATTTCAAAATTTCTAAAACTAACATAATTCATAAAAATGAAATATTTTAATAAAAGATTTTCAATAAATACTCATAAGGAATGCTATTCACTTACCTGTTGTGATTTCAAATCTCCAAAATATTATTTATTTAATTTCTATCGGGATCCTCTTCCTCCACGCGTCCTATAAAGATATTAGTAGCCAAAATTTAATAAATCATCTTTTAATTTACAAAGGCTTCCTTCCCAATTCCACCTTTTACCAATATCCAGTTATTTTCAATTGAGAATTGAATCCACACTATCATTATTTAAAATTCAAAAATTAAATCTATAATTTAAAGTTACTCCAAGTATTATTATTTACCCTTATGACTTTCTCCATAAAACTTTAGTCATGCCATTCTATTTCCCTGAGGTGAAAATTTTCTTTTTATACTTTGCACCAATTTTTTTTTCAATTTTGTTCTTCTCTTTCAACTTCATCCTAATCAAATTCTCAATATCAACCAATCTAACAAAACTTAATTTAGATTAGAATCCAGACCCATATATATATATATCGTTATGAAGCTTTGAAAATCACTTTCTAGCTCCCACAACAGCACGAGCAACAGTAGCAAAATACTCTCAAAAATTTCTGTAATTTTAGTATTAACTCACACTTCCCCTCACGCAAGTTCGTCAAGGAAGAAAGCTGAAGAATTCTCACCTGAAACAACAATAACAGCAAAGGTAACGAAGAAGACAGAACCTACAGCAGAACAGGGAGAGAAAATGGAATTCTCCAGCTGATGCAAGGAATAGAGGAAGACAAAACACTGCTCAAAAGAAAAGAAAAAGACCAGAATCAGCGTTAATTTTAGCTCATGACCAGCACTACCAATTCCGACGACCTGATTCCTTCCAACCATTAGCAACGCGTGGACATATTTTACAAGAACAGAGCAACAGCCAGAATCGAGTAGAAGGAAGCATAACAAATTAAAAACATAGCTGAGAAACTTGACAGTAGCAACAGAAAGAAAAAGAAAAAAAAAATCCCATAATCTGTACCTCGCTCAACTGAGACCGAACAAGGAAGCAAGATGAGTCACAGCTCTGTATAACGAACTGAAAGGAAGAAGAAGAAGAGAGAAGGTTCGCTGCACGACTCCAACGTGAGAAGAGCAAAAGACTTCCGGCGAACTCACAGCACTTGAGATGGACGAAAGACAAACGACAAGGAAGCTTGGAACGTTCGCACAGTTCATGGACAGCAAGATAAGGAAGAACGAAGCGAAAACAGGGGAGAACAACCAGTCACTGAACGTCTCCCATGGTGGATTTTTTCGCTCCCAAGGTCACCGTCGAGTAGTTTAACGACAGGGATGATGATAATGGGTGAAGGGCTGAACGAAAAGGGTTCGAAGTTTCTGGTGAAGTCTACAGCTCTCTTGACTCACGCACAAATCTGCTGGAGAAAGGAAAAGAGAAGGAATTATATCACAATGGGATAAGGACAATCTGGTAATTTCACATAGCAAAAAGAAGGAAAAATTTAATTCTTCATTTGGTCTCTTTTCGGATTCGAACTAGAGACTTGACATATGAAATCCTCCTCAACTGCCACTGGATCAAGTCTCTAACTTGTTATATTTATTCCAAAAACTAATATAAACACACTTAAAGCAAGTTAACCTATATATGTATATATATATTTATTTTTAATTTATTTAGGGTTATTACAAGTTTTTTAATTTTTCGTTTAATTCAAATTTATTAAAATCTCCCCTCTTCCTTCATCCTTTCCATTCCCCTCAAACCAAACAGGCCATTAAGATTTTTTAACCCATGCTATTTGATAGTTTGGTATTAAAAACAGTGTTTATCTTGTCTTTTAATTAAGACTATTTAAACAATATTGCGATAGCCAATAGATGAACTATTCAGTAGGGATTAAACGATTCGCCTACGAACTGGTTACATCTCCTGTAACGATCACTTGACTTTACAATTTCTTTAATTAAACTAAACACAAATTTGGAATCAATCTCAATACAATTTGATGTTTGGACACGCCAGCACTGTGTTTCGTACTTATCATCTAGACAATACACTTAAAATACATGATATAATATACTCCCTCTATCAGTTTATCCTAATTTATAAGACATTTTTGGCAGTGAACGGATGTTTTAAAATATAAGACATCTTAATTAAAATAAAATTTTTGTAATTATGCTTGTTTTAATATTGCCTTTCCTTCCTTATTATATTTTTTTCTCTACATTTAATGTTTCATAAATAAAGTTAAATAAATGAAGGATGTTTTTAGAAATTTATATTTGTGTTTTACTAAAATAAGATTATAAAATATATTTAATAAACTCTATTCATATACATAATTTTGTCAACAAGAAAAAAAAAAAAAAAAACTTGGGGACGGGAGGGAGTAGACTATTATCTCTAGAAATAATCTCCCCCTCCCCCTCCCGCTCTCGATGCATCGTAAGGAATTGAGATCAACTGACTTCAGGGTAATAAACTCACGTTTGCACGAGAGATATGCATACTAAACGTACTAATGACTTATCGTTTTAAAGATTTACACAATATTCTTAATTTTTAATTTAATTTAATCAGAAATATAAAAATAAATTACTTATTCCTATTCCTAATTCCTAAAATACCCTTAAATATAGTACATGGAATCTGCACTCCTTTGAAATGCGAACTTTCGTGCTGACTTGCCATTATTTGAAACTTTGAATAGTAATCGGAGTGCAGAAACGTCTATCTACTATGTCATTAATCTTTCTCGAAAATCTCTAAGTAGCGTAATACTAAAACGTGCACATCTTTGATTGGTTTCTACAAGAAACCAAGAGATTTTGTTGTGCCTCTTAGTGGCTATCGTTACTTCTCACTATAACTATAATTTATCTGATGAATATCCCAAATCACCGAAAAGACGTCTACTGGGTAATCTCTCTCTCTCTCTCCCGACCCCCCATAAATATATATATTTGTGTGCATCAAGTAGCATATACGTAAGTGTGTCTTAATTGCCATCTTTGAAATGAGGCAGTGCAAGGTAACAGCGAGGAAAAGGACGAAGGAGATGAGCGATGACACGTTGAAAATGGAAGAAAATCAATGTATTATGCCTGAGATTTGCAACGGTAAGTGTGTGCACTTTGATGCTGACAAAGTTTGTGTTTCGAACATTATGGGAAGGGAACGAAATGCATCTGATTTTGTTGTGCAAGAATCATGAGATATCACAGAGAACTTCGACCATCTCACCAGTTGCTTCAAATAAAGTCATATTCAGCACTAGCAGCTAGTAAGCTTGAACGACTTGAATCTGATGTATTTCAAGCTGGCGATTATAAATGGTAAGTAATGTCAAAGAATTTGCACTTTTAATTTTTGCAGTGATATATTTATTGCTGACCTAATTAATCCGGGAATATTTATCAGGAAGATGATTGTGTATCTTGTCGGAAATAGTGAAGTCAACAAGGATAGGCATATCTCACTGTACTTAGCAGTAGCAGAAAACACAAGATGAGGAACTTCCTGTTGCCTGGGAAGTCTGGGCTCATTTTTTATTTTTTGTTCATGATCAGAAACATTTTTATTTTTTGTTCATGATCAGAAAAATGATAAGTACTTGGTTATTCAAGTTATAGCAATTTTTTTTCAATTAAATTAAATGTCAGTATATTGCATAGACACACACACACACACACACAAATTTAGATGAAATGTTATAAAATAACGGATTATTTAGGGTGTCATCACCTGCCCTCTCTGCCCTAGCTACTTGTTACCCTCTAATCTAAAATATCAACCCTTTATTTGGGAGAATTCAATAAAATGTGTCTTATCATTATTAATTAGTAAGGGCAGTTGAGAGGGCTAGAGACACCTAAACTAACTTAATTTAGGTTTGAAACAAATTATGATTTGATTTTTGAATATATAATAACATATTATATATATATTGCTGTCATTACTACTGGGGTTCAATGATTGGTTGACACAGATGCTCAGAATCGGTTGAAACGTTTTTATTCAGCGAGGACTGAATGGGGTTTTAGTGAATTGCTTTCGATGGATGCATTTAAAGATACTAGTAATGGGTATCTTGTTAATGATTGTTGTACATTTGGAGCCGAGGTCTTCGTAGCTCAATGTTCTGAGAAAAGGGAATGTGTTTCCACTGTTCTAAAGCCTCCAGCATTTGGCACATTCACATGGAAGTTAGACAATTTTTCACAAATCAAGACTGATTTTTGTTATTCTGAATCTTTTACTTCTGGAGGAACAAGATGGTAATTAACCAATGACTTCACTTACTATATATCTTTTTGTTTTAACTACATTATAGGCGTTTCAGTTGTGAACTTGCATTGTGATTAATTCCATAAATGTTTTGTCTGTGCTTTAATCTCAAGGCAATTGAAAGTTTATCCAAGAGGTGATAAGAGTGGCAGACATGGTTTTCTATCCATTTTTCTGTTTCTTGATGAAAGTCAATTATCGAGGAAGTGGTATGCTGAGTCCACATTACGCGTTAAGAATCAACTGTCTATATTAAGAAATAGGGTGGTGAATGGTAGGTGTCAATTTTTTTATGTAATACGATGTATGTGTAAATAAATTGGTCTCAGTCAATATTTTTATGAGCAAAGTTTTGTTCTGAGACTTTCGCTGTTGCAGGTGCCAAGTGGTTCAGTGACTGTTACACTTACTGGGGATCAATTGAATTCATGCCGTTGCAGGAACTTAAAGATGCAACAAAGGGTTACTGTGTGAATGATACTGTCATTATCGAATGCCAGATTTGTTACGTGATCGAAGCTTAACTTTTCCAAGATTGAGATGTGATTTGTGTGATGGCAGATTGGCTCCAACTTTTGTGTTCGTCAATGATTTGCCGAATGTATATGGTCTTTGAAACGGATAGGATAGGATATTATAAGCTCCATTTTGTGTATGGTTGGTTAATTTAGTCAATAAAATGTTATACTGTTGGCAAAATGACAGCAAACTAATGAAGCCTTAGTTGCTGCACTCAGAAGTATCGATCATACAGAAACTGAAGAGATATCATACAGACAAAAGCAGACACTTTCAAATGTGTCTCAAATTATTAATAGTTTCTCATGATCATCTATATTTTATTCGAATAAAATCATGAATCTTTCACATTCCCTTTTATTCTTGTTCGCCCACTGATCAGATGTATGATCTGTAAGAGTAAGAGGACAGGAGAAAAATGTTGACGAAACAAATGTTAACACTTATAAACGCAATTGAATTTTAGATATTGGAACACTGCACTTGTAAGAACAGACAAAGATTTCAATAACCTTGGTAAGTCACGTGGCCGAATATCTGCAGGTGAAAAAGAATCCAAGATTTCGAAATTCTTATTTTTCTTTTCTTTGAAGGAATCATAAAATAGGACTTGGCTTTTCTCCTTTTTGTTTTTTTTTTCCTTCTCCACCTTTCCATCTCAATCCTTGAATAATCAAATTTTGAATGGTTAGAATTTAATATTTCATAAAATTATTATCAAAATGTAAGATTACAAAAAAAAATTAACGTGTAACAAATTTGATCTAAACTACGACTCGAGATGCAAGATTGTAATTAAATTTTTTTTTATAGATCCAAAAATTTTTTTTATAGAGGGTTGAGATGAAATGTGGAGGAGAAAAAAAAAAAAAAGAGAAGTCAAGTCTTATTAGTCTTATTTAGATGCCGACCACAAAAGATAAGATCTCTCTCACATAAATTTAGACATATACAAAAGGAGGGGAAGAATTGAACTCCTATACTATTCACTTTAACTAGAGTTTGGTGATAGAATATATGATGACAAGAGTTTTGTAACTTTTAATATTGGAAAGTACTTTTTTATTTTTCAAAAGTCAATTTATTGTTTGGATATTCAGTATTATGCAAATTGATTTGAAAATGCACATTGACATAAGATTCAAATGTGGATTTGGCTAACGTTACTTTCTAGAGCTTTTCAATCTAAAAGCACATTCCCAACCTTGACATTTATCACTCTGCCCTTTATTCCATCATTACCACCCCTTACAAATTAAATTACAAATAAACTCTCTAATGGAAACCTCAACACCGGTTGCATTATACTATATGATTATGTGATTTTTACAAGATAAAATTATGAAGCACGGTTAATTCAATAAGTTTGATTTAAAATAAAAATTCAACTTTTTTTATGAACTTTTTTTCATAATTTAAACACATGTTCTAATGAAAAAAATTAGCCAAATAAAACAAAAACAGAAAAATATTAGAAAGAGAGAATATTAAAAAATTTAATTAATAATTAAATACTTTCATATTTAAACACATATTCCAATTCCAGTGAATAGAGTTCACAATTAATCAGAGATCAAATTGTACATTATAGATTGAAAAATTAATTATGTTAATTTTTAATATTGATGTATGTTAAACTATTTCTTTTATATTTTTTCAATATATCAAATTTATTTTTATTATAATTAAAATTTTTATCACATTTTTTAAACATTTCTAACATATTACATTTATATAACAAAAATTATTAAATATTATAAATCAATATTATTTTTAGTAATTTATATTCAAATGCACATTTTACTATACATAATACAAATAAATTTTAGTTTATTTCGTTAGAACAAATGATTTTTGTTAAACTAATTTTTGTTAAATAAACTTTTAACACATTGACTTTTGGCCAAACAAGTACTAAACATATACTTATAGTTATAATTTTCAGTTTTAATAAAATCAAATTAGATACAAATTTCGAATCATAAATCTCATCTCATCTCTATATATATATATATATATATATAATTTGTAGTTAGAATACTTCGTCATTTTGTTTTGGCATGTTTGTCTACATTTAAGATTATGACTATATGAACGGCACAGGTAAAGCAATGAACTGCAAATAATAGTTCCATAAAATAATCACGGTGTATTATGTATGTAGTATAACCTTAGAACGTTGGACCAAGTACTTTTACGTTTTATCCTAAAATCTATAGTCACTGAGAAGAAAAGTTTTTTTTTTTTTTGAAAAAAAGGGAGAATTACATATAAGCCCCGCACAATATAATTAATTACTATTAGGTTCATTGGTAATCATTATATATATAAAAGTAGAGTTTTCAACTACGAGAGAATGTCATGTGTTCATTTTCAGGTTTGCTACAATTCTATACTTCGGGATGCCTTTCGTGCGATTATGTGCTTTGGAGTCAGGTCTGGGGTTATGTTCGGGATGTTTTATTGTTTTTTGAGAAATATAAAAGATATTATTTAGGTTTGGAGTTAGGTGTGGGATGAATTATTAATTTTTATATGTATATAAAAATCTATTTTTATCTATTTAAAATTTAAATATGGGCATGTTTAAGTTCAAATTAATATCTATCTATTTAATAACTCTATCCAATCTAAATATATGGTGAAAATCTAGGTTCAATAGTTTTTTGATATATAACTTAGTAAATTAATATCTATCTATTAATATTAAATATAAATATTTTTTTGATGCATGATTTAGAAGGGAATCCTTCGGATTTGACATTAGAATTAAAAATCAATACACTTTCCTTTGTTTTACTTAGTATTCTTTAAATTTTTTTTAAACTGCTAATTAATATTTATCTATTTAATAACTCTATCTAACTGAAATATATGGTGAAAATATGGATTCATAATTTCGAGTATATATATACGGCTATATATTAGGATCCAAATTTAAATTAATATACATCTATTTAAATATTTAGAAAAGAATATGTTTTTTACTATTTAAATCAATCCTCATGAATTTCAAAAAATATAAATATGAAAAATTATAGATATTAATATATTTAATTATTTGGGTCTCATTATGTTAAATTCATATATTAATTTTTTTCATATTTATATAATTTGAATTTTGCAACCAGTTGTTTGAACTGTTAATTTCATATATCAATAATTAGAGTCTCATTATGTTAAATTCATATATTAAGTTTGGTAGAATTAAATTCCTTTAATATCTACACTCAAAAAATAAATATTTAATATATATCATTTTAATTTTTTAATTAAATCACCTCTTAATTCCCCTCTTAAATGAGTCTCATTCAACGTTGAATTAGTTTTTAAGGATACTGGAGTAAGTGCTTATATCTTTTGTATTTCTTTTTTATAATTTGAATCACATTTATTACATTCAATATATAATACTTATTCTATCTATAGGACAATATTGCTATAGGGTGATCAGATTTCTGCAATCATTTAAAAGCCTTTTGTGTGACATGTTAAAGATATGTTGCATCCCTTTAAATATATGAAATTTTAAAATTTAAGACTTCTTAGTATTTTTGATCATATAGAACAACATATTATCCTTATAAGATTAGCTTTCCTATTCTCTACTAACATTAAGTTGCATCTTCAAACAGGTTTCATTTATTATTTTGGGTTTAATTTTGTTAATATTCTAAAACTTACAAATAGAGAGACAACAAATATAATTACTTAGTTAGTATGCATTTAAATTTGCTGAATTTGTTTTTGAAAATAATAAAGTGTTTATTTGATATGTACGACTCGCCTATCAAATAAAATAAATAGATCTGAAAGAATTATTTATTCTTTTGAACCTATTTATTTGATAGGTTTAGACTATGAAATTAGGTTCAAAATAATTTACCATTTTTATATATTTTTATTTTATTTTAACTAGATTTATCTATTTGAAATTCAAATTGAACAATTTAAAATGGAGTAAGCAGATTATTTTATATTTTCATACAATAATAAAATTAAATTTTGGTTATATTTTGACCGGTCCAACTTGAAAAATAAACAAATAAAATATATAGATTTGTCAATTTGAAATTCAAATTATTATTTAATTATGAGATAATTATATAATTATTTATTTACCATATACAATCAATAAATTAGGATTTTTAATAAAATAAAAAATATATTATATAATTGTAATAAGTATAAATATAAATATTAAAATTATATTTTCAATCTAAGTTTTAATTCTAATCAACTAAGATTTTTTTAGCAACTTTTAATTATGTTCTTCTAGATATTACAATATAGTATTTTAAATTTTATTTTTCATCATAAATTTTATAAATATAATTTAATTATTTTTTAATGGTGCTTTTTCAATGTATTTTCAATTTAGTTTTTTATTTTATTTTAAAATTACTTTTTTATTTTTTTAAATTATTTTATTATGATATATTTTAATAATGAAATTTATTTATGTTTATTAGATATATCGATCATTTTTTATTTAATATTTTTATTTTAAGGATGCAATAATATATGATTTTTTAACCAAGAAAAGAGACCATGAACAGTTTTTAGATGCAATTTTATCATTCATATAAAAATAAAAAAGAATTTCTGTAAAATGTTGAATATATATTAAATTACAATTAATCAATTTTAAATCATATTAAAAAGTTTAGTCAAAAATAAATTTCTATCAAAATATTTTAACATTATATTTACATTTTCAATGAGAGAAAATTTGGACTTGTATAATTTATATTATATTTTAGGGTTTGTATAATTTTGATTATATATCAAAGGTTATTATTATCTTTTAGATATTTAATTAAGGTACTTTATAATCTATATATGTATTAGTATAATTAAATTTTTTATTTTTTTAAAAAAAACTATCCAAGCTTTCAAGCTTAACCCTAAATCTTATCAATAAAAATTGGACTTCAAAAAAATATTTATTTATAAAAAATTAAATTTATGGGCTTGAGTTCTTAAAGGGTAGGCTTAAAAGAAT